GGGGGAGTGTGTAATGACCGCAGCCTACCTCATCAATATCCTACCGACAACAAGCTTAGAAGGGAAATCCCCTTATGAAGTACTTTTCGGCAAGAAGCCATCTTATGATCATCTCCGCGTCTTTGGATGTCTATGATATGTCTACAACAAGCCGAAGCCACTTGATAAATTCGAATCAAGGTCGAGACGTTGTGCTTTTCTTGGGTATATTCCCGGGAAGAAAGGATACAAAATTCTAGATCTCGAAACAAATAAGATCAGTGAGTCTCGTGATGTTATTTTTTACGAGGAACATTTCCCATTTCGGAATGATGCAATTGTCGGAGATAAGGATATTGTGGCAGACTCTTCAAGTTTGTCATTTCAAAATTTACAAAATCACCCCCTTGATGATGATCCGAACCAAGGAGATGACGTCATTGAAAATGTGCCTACTGATGCTCACGTTGATTATGAGCAAGTGCAAGCGGAACCCGAAGTCGTACAACAAGACCGCATTGGAGAACATGCTGAAGAACGAGCCATTGAGACACGAGACCTCCCATCAAGAGAACGCAAGTTGCCAAAGTATTTACAGGATTACATATTGAACTGTTCACGTGAAGATGGCAGCCCCTTTTTACGTCAATCACCTATCTCAAGCCATACTTCTACTACACGAGGTAATGTCCATGGTATTCTTCTTACTCACGTTTATCCAACACAACAAATTCCTCATGACACAGATATATCTCTTGTGGAACCCATGAGCTTTGAAGAAGCTTCACAAGATGCAAGGTGGCGGGAGGCAATGAATAAAGAGCTGCATGCACTTCAAAATAATAAGACTTGGGAGTTTAGTCCATCTTCCACAAGGAAAAAGGTCTATCGGATCAAAGTGGGTTTACAAGATTAAATACAATCCGGATGGAACTATTGAACGATGCGAGGCTCGTCTCGTCGCTAAAGGATATAGTCAAGTGGAAGGGCTCAACTACAATGAAACATTTGCGCCAGTAACAAAATTTGCCACAGTTAAGTGCCTTCTCGCAGTTGCTGCCGCAAGAAAATGGGAATTGCACCAATTAGATGTTAATAATGCATTTCCAAATGGAGATTTAGATGAAGAAGTGTTCATGAAGGTGCCTGTTAAGCCCCCGGTGAGGCAAGTATATGTGACAAGGGCCAGGAAGGAAAAAGGGGAGGGCCCACAACTGATTGAAGTGGACCCAGGCCTAGGGCTAAATGAAGTGGGCCAGCGGATAGGAGTGGGAAGCCAGCTTGGAGAACTGGGAACAGACGGTTAGAGCCAAGGGGATATGAGGGGAGATCGTGGGAGGGGAGGGGTACGAATTCTGTGCATGAGCAACCACTAGGGAGTCTGGGGATTACTCGAAAATCCTTCATTATCTTATTTTCCTGTTTTTCTTGTTTTCCTTCTGTTCGTTCTTCTTCTTCTTCCATCTTGGATTCCAGGGGCAAGTAATAAAAACGTTGAGATTGGATCCAGGAAATATCACTTTGTTGATCAGATCTTAGTAAAACTCCTAGGTTCCTATCAGTGCCAGAAGGCTACCCAAAGCAAGAAAAGGGAATCGTTTGCAGACTCCACAAATCCCTGTATGGACTAAAGCAGTCCTCAAGGCAATGGTTTGGCAAACTCTCAGAAGCTTTGTTAACCTATGGTTTCAAACAAAGTATCTCTGACAGCTCACTTTTCACTCTATCCAAAGGTGACACTAAAATGGTTGTTCTGGTATATGTTGATGACCTCATTGTTACAGGGAATAACAGTAGAAGATGCGACCAATTCAAGAAATATCTTCAGAGTTGTTTTCAAATCAAAGACCTTGGAGCACTTCACTACTTCCTTGGTCTAGAAGTAATGAGATCAACTGATGGTATTCATTTATGTCAAGGGAAATATACTCGAGACATTATTGCTGAAATTGGGTTGAAAGACGCCAAACATGTTGAGACACCTATTCCCCAGCACCATGGCTTGTCGAATGAAGATGGTGAACTTCTAGAGGATGCTCAAAGCCGAGAAAGCCGCATATGGAAATGGCCAAAAGAGTAGTTCGCTATTTAGCCAAGGCACCAGATCAAGGGATTTTATATCCCACCAACAATAGCTTAGTCTTGAAGGCATATGGGGACGCTGACTGGGGAACATGTCCAACCTCCCGAAGATCAGTCACCGGTTTTGTAACATTTCTCGGGGCGGCACCTCTAACGTGGCGCTCCAAAAAGCAGCCAACTGTCTCGTTATCCTCTGCAGAAGCGGAATATAGAGCCATGGCGAAGACTACCAAGGAAATCATCTGGCTTATTCACTTGCTCAAAGACATTTTTGTTGAGGTACCTAAGCCAGTCAACTTGTTATGTGATAATAAGTCTGCAATACATATTGCCACCAACCCAGTATTCCACGAGAGAACCAAGCATATAGAGTTGGATTGTCATTTCATCAGAGAAAAGGTTCAGCTCAAAGTAATCAATCTAGTTCATGTTACTTCCACCCAACAGTTAGCAGATATTTTCACTAAAGCCCTCGGAAGTGCTCAATTCCAAAAGCTCCTTCGTGACTTAGGAGTAGAAAGCAGTACAACGAGAGCTTAAGGGAGACCCACGTATCTTCTCTGCATGTGCAAGCTATGTTGTGCCATGCACACCAGCTTGAAGGAGGCTATTGCAGATCATGATCCCTGATTATATGGGATTGGTATATTGCAAACCTTGACCCGTGATTATACGGGATTGCATGATTGGCATTAACATACGTGGAGTTGCTATATTTAACTAATGGTTGACTATAGATTGATGTACAGCAAAATACGAGCTGTAAACGATAGTTACTATAATTTCTTTTATTTGTATTGTTTTCCTAGTTTTAGTCATATATTCTGTATATATGCTATTGTAACGATCATAAAAGTGTGCAATTACCAATTATTATTCTTCCAGTTCATAGAAAATTTTCATATTTATTTACGTCATTATCAGTATTATTATCTAAAGCCTATTTACAAAAGGCCAAAAATAATATTTTGTCATAGCTAGTCTGTTGATCTTGTCTACTAACATTCTTCACGTAGAAATTTCCGACGTTTACTTCCAAACGTAAGGAACTTAATGTCAAATTAAAGATGACATATCTAAAACTAAAAATCCATTGTTCAAAATAAAACACATAATTAGGCTTTATAACAAAAAACAAGAAGAAACGCTGTCGTTAACATTAAAAATATTTTTAGAAATCATAAAACACTATTATTCTAATCATTAACATGCTTGAATCTTGATTTTCATGTCATCATCAACAGTACTATCTTAAGTTTGACATGAAAGAAAAAAATTATCTTATTACTAGTTTGTTAATCTTCTTTACTAATGTTCATGTAAAAAGATTCGACATATTAGTCCCCGAATTAAGAAACTTAATTACTGTCCAATTAAGGATGATAAATAGAAAGCAAAATTTATTGTGCAAACTAAAACACATAATTTGTCGCCATCGCTAGTTTCTTGATCTTGTCTACGAACATTGATTCATGTAAAAAGTTCCGCCATTAAGTTAGTTCCCAAGTTAAGGAACTTAATGACCGATAGAGTTTAGGGTTTAAAGATGACAACTTAAAACCTAAAAATCTATTGGTCAAACTAAAACATATTATTAAGTTTGAGAACGAATAACGACAAGAAATGTTGACATTCTTATTCTAGTCGAGACAAAAACATATTAGACGCCGGTTGCCAAGTTCTAACCGTTAATGTGCTTAAATCTCAATCTTTATCGTGTTACGTCATTATCAAAAGTACCCTCTTTGGATTGACAAAAAAGCAAAATTTGTCATCATTAGTATGTCAATCGATCTTAACTACTTACGTACATTCCGCGACACAAAAAGTTGTTGATGTCATATTATTGTTTTCAAATTAAGGAACTTAATCCTAATTCATTTAATTAAATTCAAATGCAGATCATATAAACGACAGTGCTATTAATGATGCACTTTCCTTATTTCTATTATTTTCAATCAGAGGAAAGAAAAGGGAACATTTTGTTGTCACATAAGAGATATCTAATAAACTTTCTAATGATTCAATTAATTGATTCTTACTGACTTGTAATATACGGTAATAGATAAATGGCTAATATATACTACCTTCTTAATTATGATCCAATTATTGATTGAATTACAAGGCCAAAGTTTCAGATTTTACTAACGTACAATTAACTTTTAAGAAACTTTTACATTATTACTAACACATATGCTCTCCGCTTTTCTTATAACTATTCTCAATCAAAATTTGAATGAACTTATGAAATATTACTGTCTTTATATTAGTTAACATTTATTGATACCAAAATAAATTTAAGATCACAACTGATTTTTTTTTTTTTAAGCAGATGGAGAGTGAAATTAGAGAAACTTAGCACATCCCAACTGGATATCACGTCTTTTTTATTCATCAATATTATACCAACGACACAATGAGCCACAACATTTCAAGATATAAATGTTGAACATTTTAAAACATAATGAACCATGTCATCCGAGTTATAAAAATCTTTAAAAAATCTAATATCTAACCATGATATTTATCTCACTAAGTAGTAAGATATTCATTGCCAGAATTCAGAAAAGATAACGGGTTTCACCCCCAATTAAGTAGATAAAAACAAAGATTTAGATATAAACTCTTGCGAGTTTTTCGTTGAGTTAATTAACTTTGCTGATCTGTTAACCATGTAGCAAACAAGACAACAAAGTAAACGGCATCATGAGAGTACTATATATAGCATGCATGCAAGCGAGGGGGTGGAGGTGGTGGTGAAATGGTAATGCTCAATGCCATTTGTAACGTAACTTTGATCATGAACTTTTGAGCTGTCAAGCTTCTTTGCTCTATATTAGCAGCTCAAAGAAGCAAAGGTTCTTCATTGTAGTGGTCTTAAGGAAATTAAGAGAGAGAGAGAGGGGGAAAAAATAAAAAATAAAAGGATCCAAACAAAAATGGAGGAAGTAAGGGTAGCGATAGTAGGAGCAGGGCCTTCTGGTCTTGCTACCTCAGCTTGTCTCAACATTCAATCGATTTCCAATGTCGTTCTCGAAAGAGAAGATTGTTGTGCTTCTCTTTGGAAGAAACGAGCCTATGAACGTTTGAGCCTTCACTTAGCAAAACAATTCTGTTCTTTGCCCTACAAACAACATTCTTCCAAAACGTCCACTTTCATGTCCAAAGACACTTTCATATCCTATGTTGATTCTTATGTATCCGAGCTCAACATCACCCCTCGTTATTCTCGTTGTGTTGTGTCGGCACTGTTTGACGAAACGAAGAAGAAATGGAGGATCGAAGCAAAGAACGAGGCTTCTGGGGAGATGGAGAGCTATGCTTCGGACTATCTTGTTGTTGCGAGTGGAAAGAATAGTGAGCCTTTCATTCCAAAGGTTCAAGGGTTGGAGAGTTTCAAAGGAGAAGTTATTCACTCAAGTGACTACAAGTGCGGGGAGCCTTATAGAGGTAAAGATGTTTTAGTTGTTGGATGTGGAAATTCAGGTATGGAGATAAGCAATGACCTTACAGACTATGAAGCTCGTACAACAATTGTTATTAGAAGCCCCGTAAGCTAATCTCTCTCTTTAATTTCTGTCTCTATATTTGACTACATTTTTGAAGTTTCTCCCATTTTTGTTGCTATATATTTAACATGTTTTCTTGCTACCTTGTTATCTGTGTTTGTTGTTGTGCAAGCAAAAATGCTTCAGCTTTCCTTGGTCTGTTTAATTTTTCATGTCCAAATTAACCTAATTTTCTTTTTCTTTAATTAATCTTGCATTCAAGCCTCATATAGATATAATTATATGTATAAGTTTTAATTGTGTGCTCAACTTATAGCGATTCCTAATTTTCTCCCCTTGTTACTGAAAGGAACAAAGGAAGTCGTTACTTCTTTTTATTAATAAATAAATAAACAACACTCCTTGGATATATGTTCTCAAATTATGCATCACATATATTTTTCTCTTTGTTCTAATTTTTCTCGTCTCTGGCTGAGATTTACAAAGACAAATGTCCCCAAATTGGATAAGCTTGAGGAACCCGCCAATTTTATTAACTTGCATGCACATTATCCTCTGCACGAAACGGTCAAAAGTGAAGTACAATTATATCCAAGTGTAAAACTCTACTTTGCATCAGAAAGAGTATCTTCCGTTTCATCTTCTTTGCAACTGTTGCTTTATAGATGCTCCTATTGGCTAGTTTTGGTTCAGAAAAAGACTTTAGATTCCTATTATAATTGTTATTATCAGAAACATATATCTTTTTTATACCCTGTTACTTAATTTATATAATTACTTGTTTGTATGTTCATTATTGTTTCAGTTTCATGTGCTGACAAAAAAGATGGTTCATATGGGGATGTTAATGACAAAGTATCTTCCGGTTGGTTTTGTGGACACTTTGATATCATTTGCGGCAAAGATTAAGTATGGAGATTTGTCCAAACATGGGATTCATCGCCCTGCTGAAGGCCCCTTTGTGCTCAAAACGCTCAACGGAAAAACTCCTATTATAGATGGAGGAAGCATCAACAAGATCAAGTCAAACAAAATAAAAGTAACATATATATATATATATATATATGTATATATATATTAACGATAAAAAAATCTTAATATATGCTTTGTCCATACATATATATTTTTAGTTCCAAAAATTGTTTTCTAGCTAATTTATTTTTTTATCGTAATTTTTTTTTAATAAGCAGAAATCTTTATTTAAAAAGAAAAGAAAAAAATCTTACAAACTAAATCATAAAAATCCTATGCAAAGTAAGGAAAACCCTAATTACAAGCAAAAATTGTTTTCTAGCTAATTTATTTTTTTATCGTAATTTTTTTTTAATAAGCAGAAATCTTTATTTAAAAAGAAAAGAAAAAAATCTTACAAACTAAATCATAAAAATCCTATGCAAAGTAAGGAAAACCCTAATTACAAGCAAGTAATATATATATAT